AAACAGAAGATGCGAAGTAACGGTACTTGGCAAACGGTTCTTTACTAGCGCACACTGATTGACACAAATATAAGATTAAAACGTTTAAAAAAAACATGCTTACGATCAATATGTGATGAAAAAATCATGAAAATGCAAGCGAATTTATATGAACCTATTCAGTTGGTCGGCAGTGTATCTGTTAGCGATATCCATTTATTTTTTATTATTATATAATATTACATATGCATGGATAGACAAATTTTTGGGAAGAAAGAAATGAATTTCCTTATTGTCACATGGCAGCGTTCCATTTCGACGTAATTTTGAGCACACAAATAGTGTTCACTACGGGTGTAAAATGTAATTTTTAAAATAAAGATTTCTTAGGTAAAGGAACCTGCTAAAAGTGTAAAATGTAGATTTATTTAAAAGTTTATAGTTTAATTTAATTAATTTGAAGAGAAAAATGTGAAGAAAGTGTGTTTAATGTGATAAAAAGCTTCTCGAAATGTTCGAGTTTTGGAAATTTTTGAACTTTAATTTTTTAATCAGGAGAACTTCCTCTTTCTCACGATAGCTTCAAATCGCGGCGCCAAAGAAATTTGGATTTGTGCCCTCAGGCTTATCTGTTATATAGGATATTTTTTAAAAGGTATGCAAGGTGCATTTTGCAGTCTACTGACATTGTTGATGCAAGTAACAGGCGTTTCCGGGTAAGTATTTCTGAAAATCTCGTATAGCAACAATTAGACGACTGAACCTAAGTTTAACAATTCTTATATAGCTGGATCAAAATCCATATAAGCAAAACCCTCAAGCTTTTAAATAAACCAAAACACACATATGGATTTATTATATTTCAAGAAACACTCACTAAACAAATAATATGTAATACATACCTTTGTTACTAAAGTATAAATAAAACCAATCAAGGCAATTAAACCCAAACATTCAATAAATTTATATGAGTCCTGTTCAAATTTATAGTCAATTGGCGGTGGGTAGAGTATTGAACGTATAAGACCACCTTTAGCTGTTATATTCCCGGTATTAATAACAATCGCCAAGACCTTTTCAGAACCAATATAACGCGTTTGTATAACTTTTGTTCCACTAAAAAGTGTATGTCTTGCATGTTCTTTTTTGTCGTATATCATATCTCGCCTCATTGGTAAAGGCGTTTTTGTTACCGGTACGCTTTCACCTATAAAAAAGAATTGTATATTGTAGTAAAATATAAAACATAAGATAAATAAAAACCTGTAAGCATTGATTCATCAAGTATGCAATTGCCTGATAAGAGCACAGCATCGCATTGCATAACACATCCGTTGGTGGGTATTTCGATTACATCGCCAAGAACTAGCCACTCAGTGCCAGTTTCAAGAGTTTCTCCAGTTTCTGTTACAACCAAAGCACAACCTTTATTTAGTACAGTTTCTCGCAGTGAATCCTGATTCTAAATATCAAAAAATGCAAAACCATTATTTGAAACTCTGAATCTTTCAATTTATATAATAATATAACAAGAAACAACTAAGGAATGGTTAAGTTCGGGTGCAACCGAACATTTTATACTCTTGCAACTTTCAGGAATCAAAGCAAGGGAAATGCCTTAAGGTGTAAAACGTCAACCTGAGGATCGAAATCCAAGCAGGTGTGTTCCAAAGTAAACAGGACTTTTTGAATCTAGCGCCCCCTGGTGGCTCCATCTATATGTCGACTGATGAGTTAGAATCTGCTATCTTTATCGATTGTCCAGTGAGAATTTCATGACATTTCATCAATTGGAAGTGAAGTTATTGTGTTTTAAGTGTCAATATGTTTGTGTTATCGGTGCGAAAATGAACTTCGAACATAGAGCCAACATTAATTTTGTTTTAAAATCGGTAACATTTTTACCGAAACGTTTAAATTGATGAAACAAGTTTATCGCGATGATTGCCAAGTCCGTAGCAGAGTGCACGAGTGAATTTTCATCGAAACTGTGCGTGAATTCATCAAAACTCAGCCGAATTCATCATTGAAATTCATGGAAATATAATGGAACATCTTCAAAACATCGATTTATCGAATTTTGACCGAACATTTGGGTTTACAAAAGGTGTGTTCGGCCCGATTATCGCGAAGATGCAAGTTGACGTTTGCTGCGCGATAATGCGCCATTTCATCTATCGACGCTTGTGACCGCTTATTTGACCACTCCCGTATTCACCTGATACGGCATCGTGCGACTTCTCCCTTTTCGGAAAAATACCCATGAAGGGAAAGTGTTATGCAGACGTAGAGGGCATCCAAAAGGCTTGCACCGATACACCATACTGGCGGTCAGCCCGGCCAACAAGCTAAAAAACTCGTTCTACATGCTTTAGGACCGTGCGAAAAGCAGTATTGAAGCAGAAGGAGACTATTTGAATAAAATAAATTGATTTTGCCGAAAAAAACCATTTGTTCTGTGTTCTTTTTTTTTAATCCCGTTTACATTGGAACGCCACTTGTGTATACATGTACAAACTATATATAACTCATATGATGAGAGGAGACACATAAAGTTTGTTAGAAAAACGAAATAATATGCCGCATATGAAAGTTGGAACTATTCATATAGAGTAAAGTCAGCCGGACGGTGGAAAATCCTGATATTAGTTATAAGGGGGTAAGTCAAGTTATCGCTAAATTTATTTATTGTTGGCATAAAGATGCGCTGTTATGAGTAAACAATGCTAGCTCAATATCATTGAGATGACTCACATATTACCGGTACAAAGTCACCCGGAAGTTCGATTATCTTTAAATTATATATATGGGGACTAAGGGAAGTATTAGTCCGATTCAACCCATTTTTGACATACAGACATACCATTATCAGAAAAGTACTATCCTTGAATTTCAATTATATATATCAGACATTCTCCGATATTTTCTAACAAAATTCAACTATAGGCACTGGGGTCTAAATATTCGAGAATGAACAGTTTTTCTTGGATTTGAACAATTTTTGTTGGCATACGCTAAGGGCATTATTAATGCAAAGTTTAATCCCATTATATTAAGCGCTTCTTGATTTGCATACTGGAAACTGAACGAATCAAATGGAATTTAAAATTATCCTATATGGGAAAGTAGACGTAGGGATTGTCCGATTTCGCTCATTTTCACAACGTGACATAAGAATATGAAAAAATGCCACGTACTCAATTTTGTCGAAATCGGTTGATCGGGTCCCAAGATACGGGATTCCACCAAAAAGTGGGCGGGTTAACGCCCATCGTCCAATATTTACACCGCCTCCCATAAAGCTTTCTCACACCATCACGGCGGAAAGTTTTTACGTCTCTGATGCATTTAGTTATTGATTTATCGCACTTTTAGTAGTTTTCAACAATACCGTTATATGGGGAGTGAGTGGGGTTATACTCCGATCTCCTCTATTTCCTCACTGTCGGTAGAAACTTTAAAAAAACTTTGTACTCATATGATATGAGATATGCACATTTAACTTATTAGAGGGCGGGACTTTTCTCACATTTTTTTTTTCAAAGGTGCCCCTTCCTACTGCGATCCCTTGTGCCAAATATTATTTTATATCTTAATTATGTGCTTAGTTAAGAAAATGTATATGTTATTGGTTAATGAGGGTGTGGCAGTGGTCCGATTATGCCCACCTACGAACTTTTTTTTTGTACTAAGAAACCTGCATACCAAGTTTCATCAAGATATCTTAATTTTTACTCAAGTTACAGCTTGCACGGTTGGTCAGACAGACAGTTAACCGGATTTAAAATTTTCTTATATACATAAAAACCATATCTATTTCGATTTATAACTATAATACGAGTACTCTGTAGCAACTGGTTGCAAAAGTATAAAAACGTTAACTTTAGTTGCACCGAAATTATAAAACGCTTTACAAAAGAAAAAACTCCGTAAAAGAATTTGATTTTGAAGGGTTAGTTTGTTTAGCAGCCATATGCCATAGTTGTTAATTCGGGATTATAGCGTTAATTTGAGCAATAAACCTCGGGAAATTTTCCACACAAGAACTTGATTTTAATCTTTCAATTTGTATGGCAGCTTTATGATTTAGTGGTCTACAAAATATAAACATTTTTCGGATATTTTACCATTGCCTTCGCGAATAACTTTGATTTGAATCGATCTGTTTGGATGACAGCTATATGCGGGCGCAATAGACCCAAGGTCGCGGTGCAATCCTCGTGTAATAATCTTATATGGGTCAGCGGTCCAGTCTAAAAAATATCCTGGTCTGGTTTGTATGGCATCTATATGCAATAATGGCCCGCTATCGGTGATTCGAAGAAATGAGCAGTTAATGCGATAAGCACATGTGCAAAAGTTCAGATCGATATCTTGAAACCTGAGAGACCAAATCGCGTATATACAGACAGACAGACATGACTAAAATGGCTTAGCTGTTCACGCTGATCATTTATATATACACCTTATGGGATCTCCGACGTTTCCATCCGTGTGTTACAAACTTCGTGGCAAACTACATATTCTCTTGAAATTAATAGTCACAGTATATAATCTCTTGTTGGTCCTGATACCGCTTAAAGATGGATGATAAATAAGTTATTTTAAGATACATTCATATAGTATTACATAATCGTAGAAGTCTGAGCTACTGACTACTTTAACAAATCAACAAAAAGAAACCGGGCTGCTAAAAAAAAACTAAACACATTTACAAAATATACCAACCTTTTTAGTTTGAATAATTGACATGGCAATGCCAAACATGGACATAAGCAGTATCACACACGCGTAGTAATAATAGTCATATGTGAACCATAATATGACAGAAAATATTTGAAAAACGTAGAAAGGATTAAGCATTTCTAAAATTAATAAAGTCTTGAAATTTTTATAAGGAACAGTTATTTCATTTGGCCCATATGCTAAACGCCGCGATAATTGTTCCTGTACTGGTAGACCCCTCTGTTGATGAAAGTATGCGCTTGACACATTTACATCAAGTCCTTTTAATTTATTAAATGATTGCGTTTGTTTGTCCCACACGTAACGCAAATGTTTGCAATTGAACATTCTCACATGGTTAGTATCTGCAAAATAAAACCAACTTATTTTAATTATAAGTATTTATGAATTGTTGTGTTTAATTTTTAGGCAAGTTTTACATCAACAAAAAGTTTAATAAAAAAGGAAGTCGCATTAGTATAGTCGCATTTATGAATAAAAACGAAAATGTTACGATGTAAGAATAACCGTGGAAATTTCCAAATTTGAAAATAATTGATACTAATTTTTGCGATTTGTTATTAGGCACAAATAAACATAAAATATATTACCATATAAATAATTTTAAAAGTAATAGTTGATAATACTTGTGATAACGAAAGAGGTTACTCTTAACTTTTAACAATAATATTTATAGTTTTATTTCTATAAACTTTTTCAAAATCCAGTTTAAATCCGCAAGAGGCAAGAGTACCATTTCTGTATTAAAGTAAAAAGGTTGCTACAATAATATTTCTTGCAATACTTTTGATTACCAAACGTTGGCCGTTGCATAATTGAGGTGGATTGAAATTACACTAAGTATAAATAGTTGAACAATTCTCAAAGGATGATTACATGATATCATTCCGGGAAATATATAGATAATTTTCGTTTTTATTCTCAACAACAGTATCAAATGATTTAAAATGCATACATATATTTGGCTGACGACAACTGTTAATTAACCACCCTTTTTACCTTTCTATCAACTCACAAGCCACGATTATATATTTTTATTTTTTACATTTTGATCTTTTTGGGTTAAGCAAATTATTTTATGTTCGAAACACGCCGTAACTTATTACATTTAAGATATTTATATTTTCATGTTTTTTCAAAATATCTTCTATTAACCAATAAGTCGGTTAAGGTTTTCTTATTAGAAATCTCTTCATTTTGATCGTATAACAATATATATTAATTTAAAATGAGAAGCTAAATTTTACGGTTATTCCCTAGTAGCAGCTGTAAAAAATGCCGGTTTGAATAGTTCAGTGGGTTTTTTGTCGGTATGTAATTACATACTTCTTTGTTCAGTTAATAACATGCTAAACTATATTAATTTCTTTTCTATGATAAATGAATTTACTACGCGATTTTTTGGGACGAGAATGTATTAAGTAGATACAATTTATTTTTATTACTAGTGGACCCGCAAGACGAATCCCTGCATGCTATTTTAAGCTATTAGGATATTAAACAAAGTATTTTGAAAAAATCGGTTTCCTTATTCTTTGATGTGAAATAGCTTCAATTCTTTAGAATAAATTCGTTATAATCAATTATATTTCTTTAATTTTATCTTGATGCGAGTTGGCAAACAATATTTTTAGAAGAAAATGATAGGTGAGCCAATATTTCACCGTTATGTGGTGACATTCGTAGGTTAATTCAGCGAAATCAAAAAATTCAACAGAATATTTGACTGCTTTGTTACGATCGGTTACAATGTCGTTCGATTTGAACATATTATTATTGCAAGGCAAAGACCGTTGCATTAAAAAGGGTGAATATCGATATTTTTTGCAGCTAAAATAGATCGTTCATGAAGCCACGCATGATTATTATAAATCAAACACAATTATATGAAACATTAATGTCTTTCGCATAGCCAAATTAGCTTAGTATATTAAGATTATAATTTAAATAATAAAAAACAGTTTTTGCCTTCCGCACAGCTGGCTACTATTTTAAAGATAAGGCGGTAATTGATCAAATTAGGGCGATTTAACGAACAATTGTATAGACAATTTTATAATATTTCAGGACACAGGACGAGGCTGCGTTTCAGGTATAAACCCTTTTTAAAATATCTTGTATATTTCTAACAAAATTCAAGACTTTAAAAATATCGCTCATGCCAATAATTTGTCTACTCCATTTTTCAGTTTGTACAATTTTGTAAGAGAATGTTTTGCTTCACAGGAGCCTCAATCCTTTTACTACATTCTAAATTAAATTATATCATTATCTGCGCGTTTATCACAAATGTAACGGGAATTCGACATGAAGTGCCAAATCTGTACGAAGTGGATGTAAAAAAAAAAGATAAAAAAAGAGAGTTTCACTTGATATTGCATATGCTGCTCGGACCTTTCAGATCAGTCTGTTGCAGCTTAGCTAAACGTCGAATAGCATTCTGTCTAAATTTGAGATTCTCTGTTACAACTATGTAATGAATTTTATTTTGAATTTACGCTCGTAAGTCGGTTAAAAATGAACATTTTCTAATCTTTTTTTTACAAACCATCCCTTCAAAGTGGTTCAGGCCATTTTCCACTTCATACAACGGTTTAGTCAGCTATAACGAACAGACGAAAACACAACTTATTTTTATATATATAAGATTACTTTCTATACTTCCCAATTTTCATTGAATGATAGTATTGTCGATTCTATAAAAAGAGAATAATCAGCAACATTTTGAAAGAGAAGAAATGTTAAGTGTTGGATGTTTATAGGTAATCGATGGAAAGAACTGAGATATTTGCACAAACCTTAGTATACACTTATATAGTATTATGGATCCGCTTAGAAGTTCTAATAAGTTCCATGTTGTATAATGAAGTGACTATTTAGGACTTAAGCGATATTTTAGACTAATATACCTGTGTTATTTAAGGAAATTAAATCTAGTACTATGCCGTTTGTACGACTCACGTTTAAATTGTCCTGATGAAAAATGTAAACTTATGTGAAAACTCTTTTCATCAATTTCAACTTCACTCTGCTTTTGTAATGTCAATGTGTTTCCATTCCCTGAAGATCCATTTTTAGCAAGTAAAGATGGAGAGAGTCCTGCCTGTAGCTGTAGAGATTTCCTAAAAATATCAAAAAATTTACACCATTATGAAACTAAGGCTTACAAAAGAATTTACATCGACATGGTAGCATTTATTTCTTGAATTGCTTTCACGTAATATGTAACGTGTTTCCCTTGGTAGTGTTCCTGTATCAAAACCTTTTCAGCTATATCTAATGAACACTTTTCGTGGGTTGCAATTAGATACAAATGACGCCACCAATGCATTATAAGACTCAACAGTCCGCCTGTTAGGCAAATGAAAAACCAACAAAACGTGGTACGTAATAGTGAACGTTTGTAACCCGTAATTTGCATTTCATCATCTTCTTTTGCGTTCACTAAGCCTTCCCAAGGTTTGCGATCTGTAAGAAAGAAAATTATTATAAATACCAGCCAATTGTTTATCTTAGTTAAATTAATCTTATTAGATTTACTAAAAAAAAATATTTATAAGTACCTGCTTGAACACAATTTATTTTAGCACACATTGAAGTTAGAAGCTGCAAAAAAATGAATTTTATTATTTTTGAACTGCCTCACACTCTCCGAGTAAAAGCACTATTTATTTTTTGTTATCCTTTTATCAACATTAAACATTTAAGAAAAAAAATTACAGATGCTAGCAAATTTCCAACTACAATGTTTAATATTTCCCGGTTGACTAATCTTACAACTCTACACATTTTCTTCGAATTTTATTTAATGACTTCGTTATTGTATTTATTTATTTAATATAAGCTTTAACTATATACCTAGAGCATAGCAATAATTTTAGAAATTTTGCTGCTACGGAATAGTAAATGAAAACCCTGGTTGTACACTCAGATGGGAACTTCGGAGAGGCTATACAGCAAAATGATCAGCATGACGAGATGAATCGATGGGTCTGTCCGTTGGTCCGTATATACGCGATTAAGTCCCTACGTTTTTGAGGTAACGCTCTGATAATTTGTACACGTTATTTTCTGCCCAAGAAGCTCACTTGTCGGAGACTCCGATATCGGACCACTACGGTGAAAATCTGCTATACAAACTGATCGATCTAAACCTAGTCCTTATATAGAGAACTTTTGTATTTGACGAGATATCTTTACGAAATTTAGCACAAACCAATCGACCAAATTCAAGATGAGGATCTTTTTATACTATTTTATGCTATTAAAAATGAACCTGAGAAGAGTTTTAGCTTCGTTGCAGCCAAAGTTAACAATTTTCTTTGATTTAGTATGACAAAGGTCAAACTTGTAAACTAAATTTACATTGAAATCAATTTAAATAATATAAAGCATATCAATTTAAAGATCGGCATTGTATGTATACCGGTTGTAGTCTCATCGGTTTAGAGTTACTCTCGGGTGTAACCGAACATTTTATACTTTTGCAACTTGAAAGAATCAAAGCCAGGGAAATACTTTAAGATGAAAAAAAATCATATAGAGTAAAGTCAGCTGGATGTACAAAAATCCTGATATTAGTTATATAGGGGCTAGGCCAACTTTTGCTCAAATCTATCTATTTTAGGCAAAAAGTTACCCTGTTATGAGTAAAATACGCTCTCTTATTACCCGAAGTTCGAAAATTTGTATATAAAGTATATAGGGGATACGGGAAGTATTGGTCCGATTCAACTCAAGAGGAGGATTATCCGACATTTTCGTTCAAAAGTCAACTATAAGCAATGGGTCCACATATTCAGTGCACAATGGGGTTGAGTAGTTTTCATTGGATTAAAACAATTTGTGGTCATAAAGTGTCACACACTAAAAGCATTATCGTGCAAAGTTTTATGTCGTTATATGAATTGCTTCTGGATTTGTGTACTGGAAACTGAACGAGTCAAGTGAAATTTAAAACTGTGCTATATGGGAAGTAGGAGTAGTTGTAGTCTGATGTCGGTCATTTTCATTATCATTTTGACATACAAAAATTTAATATTTTACCGTTATACGGGGACTGAGCGGGGTTCTTCTTCTTAATTGGCGTAGACACCGCTTACGCGATTTCTTCTTTTCGCTACGTGGCGCAAATTGGATATTCCAAGCGTAGCCAGGTCCTTCTCCACCTACTCCTTCCAACGGAGTGAAGGTCTTCCTCTTTCTCTGCCTCCTGCGGCAGGTACATCGCCGAATACTTTCAGAGCTGGAGTGTTTTCGTCCATTCGGACAACATGACCTTGCCAACGTAGCCGCTTTCTTTTAATTCGCTGAACCTTTCAATATAAACATAATTGCTAACTTTAGACCTAAAACGGAAGAGACAGTTTACTCCCCCGCCACGGTTCCCCTTCAATAACCCGATTTGGGTTATTGATAATAAAAACAACAATAGATCAAGCAAGAAATAAAGACCAAGCTTTGGTGATTGACTTCAGAAAACTAAATGAGATCACAATCGAGGACAAATATCCGATGCCCAAACAAATGGTAATATTGTAAAATTTAAAGGGAGCTCAATACTTCACCACTGTTGATTTGAAATCGGGGTTTCACCAGATTGAGGTGGTGGAAAGAGCCAGGGAAAAACCAGCCTTCTCTGTAAACAATGGCAAGTATGAATTCTTCCGCTTGCCTTTTGGACTTAAAAACGCCCCAAGTATATTTCAAAGAGCAATCGATGATGTTCTGAGAGAACAAATTGGCAAAACATGCCACGTTTACATCGACGACGTAATTATCTACTCAAAAACAGGCGAAGATCACGTAAAGGACATTGAATGGGTGTTACGTAATCTCTATGAGGCTAATATGAGGATATCGATAGAAAAAGCAAAGTTCTTATAAAAAGACGTAGAATATTTTGGCTTCGTCGCATCAAGAAGTGGTATAAAAACAAGTCCTGAAAAGAACAACGGAATAAAATGCTATGAACAACCAACTACCCTTCGCGGACTTCGTTCGTTAATGGGATTAGCAAGTTATTATAAATGTTTTATCAGAGAATTTGGCAGCACGGCAAAGCCACTGGCAGACATGCTAAAAGGGGACAATGGTAAAGTAAAAAAAGTTGAAAAAATTAAAATTCAGTTAACACAAGAAGGATTTCACTAAACCGTTCAATTTGACAACCGATGCTTCCTCAAGGGGCTTAGGAGCTGTGCTTTCAAAAGAAAAGAAACCAATAACCATGATATCGACAATTCTTATAGAAGAATAAGAACAATTAGTAACAAATGAAAGAGAACTCTTAGCAATAGTATGGGCACTAAACAATTTAAGAAATTATCTATGTATATGGAGTGAACCAGTTGAACATTTGGTTAGTAACCAACCTCAGCTTCGGATAAAATTCCAAACGCAGTGTTTTAACCCAAACAATGTCACCGACGCATTGTCAAGACAACATATGAATATGATACAGGTTGAAACGGAAGCACATTCTGACTGTGCCAGTATGCACAGCGAGTCACTGACCTACACCATCGAAAAGGTGGATAAACCGGTCAATTGCTTCCGAAATCAGATAATACTTCAAGAGGGCGAAAGCTTATCAAATAGATCATTTATAATATTTGGATCAAAAAACAGGCTTATAATACCATTCTGTTGTATAGAATCATTGCTAAAAACGCTAGAGGAGGTTATTGACAGCGTTGTAAATGCTATTCATTGCAGCCTACCAGTTTTAGCAAATAGTCTGGTTGAACACCACCTTAACATAAAATTCCGTCACACAGAAAAAATGATTACAGATATCTTTAATGAAGGTGACCACAACGAAATAATAATTGCCGAGCATAACCGAGCTCATAGAGCGGCACAAGAAAATGTGAAACAGATCTTAACTGACTATTTTTTTCCAAAAATGGTTAAAAAGGCAAATGAAGTAGCAGCAAATGACGAATTTGTTCAAAATCGAAATTCGAACGAGATCCAATAAAACATGCTATTGAAGCTACCCCAGTGCCAGGTAGCATCGGAGAAATATTGCACGTCGATATTTTCTCAACGGATCAGTAATAATTTTTAACATGTGTTTTCAAAATTTGCTGGGGTGCAGAAAATTGCATCTAGGACCATCATAGAAGTACATGCACCTATTTTATAACTAATGAACATTTTTCCGAACGTTAGAACAATATACTGTGACAATGAAAAGTCTCTAAGCTCAAATACCATAAATTCAATATTATCAGAATACAACAATTCGAAAATTGTTAATGCTCCCCACTTCATAGAACATCAAACGGGCAAGTAGAGCGTTTTCACAGTATTTTGACTGAAATAGCTAGGTGCCTGAAACTCGAAAGGAATCTGAATGACACTGTTGATTTGAATTTATTAGCCACTATAGGGTATAATAAGTCAATTTATTCCACTACCAATAAAAAAAACCTATAGATATCTTTTATTCTGGCTCGGTCAATATTATGGAATCAATTCGAGATCGCATATAAAAGGTACAGACCACTGACCTCTCATACTATAACAAAAGTCGTCAGAATATGACGTATAAGACTGGCGATAAAGCCTTAGTAAATGGTAACCGAAGGCTAGGCAATAAACTTACCACACTTTATACAGAAGAATTTTTTGACCAGGGTCTAGACACCACGGTTCTCATACTAGGTAGGAGGGTTCACCCTAACAAATAAACGTAATTCACAAAAAAAAAAAAAAAAAAAAATTGCCAAAATGTTACAACTAAGCGAAAAAACATCAAGATAAGGAAAAACGGTTATAAAAAAAAAAAAAAACTGACACATACGAACGCCAAACCCTTTGAGGGTTTTACTATACTGACCTAGTACCATCACCCTGACTTGGAATTTCTCACCCCCCAGATTAGCTGTTGCACTGTGTAATGTCACGGCTGAAATAGAGGATCACCTCAAAAATATCAGAACGATCAGCGGTACATACTTGTGGACTTTTGGTCAGTCAGTAAAAATAAATGGTACTGAATAATGCAATCGAAACGCTTTTTCTCGTACACCTCTAACTCTACCAGCACAGAAACTCAAGCTTTGGAGTAATCTAGGCACTTTGAGCCTAAACTATCTTCAAGAAAGGAATATGGAAATTATGAATTTTATTGGCGTTCTTCAAGAAGAAGTGAACTCTAAAACTATGGTTTTATAGAACGACAGTCATTATCCTAGTATTGTTGCGGTCCTCACTTAGAAAGAGAGGAGTTAACCCAAAACGCTGGAAGTCAAATGACTCAGTCTGTTTTGTCTGCCTAACATCCGACCAGACAATGCAGAACATAGTAACCCCACCCCAACTGCGAAAACCGTGGGATGCACAGACTCAACATACTTCCAACGTCTACGGCAGGTAGCCACATGAGCAGCGACGGTAGCGTAGGTTAAGCTATAGTTGAAAGTGAATTGTAAGTTTAGTTTTAAAATAGACTCAATAAAGAAGACACTAGTAATGAAATAACTTGTATACAAATACTATACTTATAATAGCTGCGTGGTGGTGGTGTTAGTTAACCCAAATTTTTTCAGATGATCACTTTTGACACATTTTTGTTTGATGGATTTTCAACTTTTGCGACAATCATATCTGCGGAAATAAAATTAATCAATTTTGAAGTTTTTATTTTACAAACAGAAATTGACTTGAAATTTATTTAAATGGAATGGAATTATCAAACCGACGGTAATTTAGAAAAAACGGTGTTAGGACCTTCCGTAGGAATAAATGCATAACTATACAAATTTTCACTTCCTTCGGTGGTGTCGCTTAGACCTATTCGAGTACATAACGAAATAGCCTTTCATTCTTACATATAAGATTATAACAATGTAATATCCTGTGTATAAAAAAACACAAAGGAAGTACATATAAATGCATTCTCATCCCCTTAAATTTTTCCGTCCATGCTATAGCTTTTTCAAACATTTGACCAAATCATTCATTATAAGTTCAACACAAGTGATCCTACGGTATTTGGAACGCTCTCCAGATTACAAACAATGGAGCGAAAAGATGCATCCGAGTTTTCTCTGTCTTCCAGTCAAAGTGGTTTTGGCACATCTACATAGAACTTCCGAACAAACTCGTCTTCTTCGCTAGAGGGAATAATACGGAGTGGGTGGTAATAAGCCGTGAGGTAACATGGTCTCGCAGGTTTGCTTTTCTAAAATACACGCGCTCACCGTTTGGGAGGTGCATAGTGAGATGCGTCACTGTTGCGTACCTTTTATGTAATGGTGAACCGAGTATGGCACTTCGTTACAACTTACATATTCGCCCTCCCGAAGCATCAGTACCTAATCCTTTGGGTCGATCGTATCGTTACGCTCCTGTCTATGGGTCAAAATTTCCTGGTCACTGTCTTCATATATTTGTATTTCTAACTAACCATTAAATTTGAAGTTTCTGTAGTTATATAAGGGTGATCCACTTCGAGGTTGACTACTTTTTTATAATACGGTGTGTACAGAAACAAAACATACAGAAATCAAATTTAATGGGGAATGTTTATTATCGTCAGAACGAACATTCATTTTTTTTTTTTTTTTTGCATTTATTTCTTGAAGATTATTTCTTTAAAATTTTGGTCATGGCTACGTCCAATTTTCGATTACTCGTTCGAGCATTTCAACTAGTAACTGGCGTATGACACGCGATTCAAAAGCTTGAATCGAAGAGCGATTGTTCACAAGAAATTAATTTGATTTTTATTTGTGATTATCAAACTTTTCAATGGTTATATGTGATAACAGAAGATTACAATTAATTTTGTACATACAAGGTGCGTTCCAAAGTAAACAGGAAAACAGGATTAAAAAAAAACTGAACAAATGGTTCGCAAAATCAATTTATTTTATTCAAAATAGTCTCCTTCTGCTTTGCACGGGTCAAAGGATGTCGAACGAGAGTTTTAGCTCGTTGGCCTTTTGAATGTCTGTAGGGAATGCGTTCCTTTCAGGGGCAAATGCATTTTTCCGAAAAGGCAGAAATCGCACGGTGCCATATCAGGTGAATACGGGCAGTGGTTAATGGTT